AACGACGTATTCCGTCGAGAGGACGTGCATTTTCAGATCATTCTTGGTGGCGATCATCAGAGGGTTTCACCTACTCACCGATCCCAGGGATTCTGGACTTAACATAACCATCTTCGAGTTAACACAATCAGCCGGCTAGCCACTTGCGCGCAGATTCAGAGAAGTAGCAAGCATTGCCAGTCATCCTAAATCGTAAACAACTTCGTCTCGACTCGATAAACAGTTTCTGTGGCCTGTCGCGAGTTAATATTTCACTGCAAGCCGTGCTGAGGTAGTCTCGCCAATGGACCACGAGGACATTAGGGGGTGAGAGCTCTTTGTCAAGGACTAAATGTACTGATGGAAGCAACTTCCGGACCAGCAATAACAAGCAGTTTCCACACCTATACTGCCTGTCAAAAAATAATTTATTCAGCACGTTACTGAGCACTCACCGAAATTAGTGCCCCGAGATCGACAACAAGTAACGGAATGACGGAAAGTTCCTAAACACTCAAAAAATGAACGTCAGGGCCGCCGGCTCAGCGAGATCCTAATAAGGAGACATGCGCATGGGCATTGGACACTTACTTTGCCGTGGTATAAACTTTGGACTAACTGAGATAAATCAAAATAGAGATCACACACCAGCCGGTACATTGGCCCGACGGTCTTGGTAGAGCAAACACAAAATGAACTTCGTTGAAACGACTAGGATGTTGGATGAACGTTCTCCAGAGCGACTATTTTATGGCACCGTTAACCGCTGACAAGGCGAAAAAACAACAATACAAAAGGCCTGAAAGCCTAATTTAACTAGCCCAGAACTGCGGCCTACTATCACTTCGTCACCGCGCAAGTTCTAGTCCACAGCCGTCCCTCTAAACCGTCCAATGTCCGGACAGGTGTTCGACAAGGCTGCGTCCTGTCGCCCATTCGGTTTAACTAAGTCAGTGACTAAATTCTCGGAGAGGTCCTACAGGTGTTTGACTATGCGCTAGCTACCCGGACCTTAGTTACGCCGACGATATCGTCCTGCTAGTCTCAAGGTTAGCTTATCTACAGTCTATAATGTTACGTGTGACGGAGATAGTGTGAGCAGATATTTCTAGAATGGCGGGCGCATACACAGAGACTTTGGATATTTATTTTGCATTCACCGTGTGATGGATTCGCAGATGACTGACCAGACTGTTGTGCGTGCGATCGCAATACGGAGAGATTAAAACGATGCCTGCATTGTTGGTGGTCATGCAATTGAAGGTGGTCGTGGCAAATATAATAATGATCGAGAAAAAAACTGTTTATAAGCTCCTTATATAAGCGTCGAAGAGGAGAACAAGTCTAGACTTGGCTTGACATCGTTCGTCAAGACATGGAGGCGGTTCTTGGACCTTCCGTTTTGCGATCTCCGTCACTCAAGAAGAGAATGGGTTAAGCTTTCTAGATCCGTTGCTGCTAAGGATCCTGCGTGGAGAGGTACGGTCTGTGACATCACTGAGGTCGGCTAGATAAGGCATGATCACAGCCGTATCGAGTACAAGGTAAGTACAGGACACCCAGAAAACTCCGTAGAGGATGGACGAGCATGGCGAGTTGCCAGAACAACAGCTAGCCGACCGAATAGCAGGGGCCAGGGGGAAGTGACGAGAATACAAGCTGGCATATGTTGGAGCAATACTACCAACGTCCAATCTCTTCTCAGTGCTGACGCATACTCAGGACTTGAATAAGCCATATAACGCAGAAATTACACC